CAGCCACACCCTGTAAAAGGTAGGGACTGAGGGATGCTGGGAGAACCTGGCAACTGGGTGCACTTTGATATGTTAAATAGGCATCTCAGCCATTTGTCCCAGGGTTTGAGACTTAACGGTATAAAATGCCATGGCAGCTAAAACACGAGGAAACACAATGCTATTATTGCTGCAATCAAGTTAGTTTGAGTGCTAATTCTATTGAGAGTGGATACAGGTATTTATTAACATTTATACATTCATTTAAGCTGCTGATTAAATGGGCAGTCTACGTTGAAGTGAACCTGAGCATGGCAGCATAAAGCCTTTATCCTTCAACCTCTTTCTAGAATATTCTTCAGGCTGATACTGGCTCATTTGAAGTTTTGACCTCCGAGGCCCCCCACCCCCACCCCGAGGCAGAGTCTCCTGCATCCTAGGGCCTCCTGCCCAGACCTCTCAAATTCTAGGATCACAACTGTGCACCACCTTTCCCCCCCTCAACTCTCAAGGTTTCCAGGGAAGGGTCCCCTTCACTTTCATCCTGGTCTTGCCAGGGGTACCCTGTCCTCCCTACCTCCAGTCCTGGGGACTCCAGCTCAGGATACCGACTGCTCAGTGTCTCAATCAACTTCCTGTTGCCTGCAAGATGAAGGACTCTCAGCTCCAGCCCCACATCTGCCTGCGCGTGGCCGTGCCCCCAGTCATGATGATAATGGACGGAAACCCTGAAACTGCAAGTGAGCCACCCCAATTAAATATTTTCTTTATAAGAGTTGCTGTGGTTGGGCTGTAGAGATAGCTCAGAGGTTAGGAAGTCCCGAGTTCAATTCCCGGCAACCACGTGGTGACTCACAACCATCTATAGTGATATCTGGTGCCCTCTTCTGGCATAAAAGCATAATGCAGTCAGAACACTATACAAAATAAATAAATAAATAAATAAATCTTTTTTTTAAAAAAATAGTGGTATGAGAGTATAATCCACTGAGTAACGTATTCATAAAAGTAGGACTGCAAAGTCCCCCCCCCCTTTTTTTTTGGATTTTCGAGACAGGGTTTCTCTGTAGCTTTTGGTGCCTGTCCTGGAACTAGCTCTGTAGACCAGGCTGGCCTCGAACTTCCAGAGATCCGCCTGCCTCTGCCTCCCGAGTCCTGGGATTAAAGGCGTGCGCCACCGCCGCCCGGCTGCAAAGTCCTTTTTTAAAAAGAATTTCTGTCGTCATGGTGTCTCTTAAAAGCAATAAAAACCCTAAGACAGAAGTCCAGCTGCCATATCATTTTTCTATCAAACGGCTTGTTGATTATGGTGCTCATCTCGTGTGAAGTGTGTAAGCAACACTTTCCTTGTCAGTCAGCGCGCTTCTCTGCAAGCTGTCTTTAACCACGTGGCCTAACTACAAGAGTGAGGTCGCCTAAAGTACCTGGCAACTTCCAGAATGGAAACAAGGAAGAGGGCCCAGAAGGGAAGGCTCAAGGCTGCTGTGCAGGTGGACCCAGAAGAAACCAGGTCCTGACCCTGGACTGTTCTCCCTTTCAGAACACCCCTGCGTGAACACACGCACCTCTCCAATCATTGCCCCCAGTCTGTCCATTCCCAAGTTTGAGTCTGGCATGAAGGACATTTAGCTGTGTTTCTGCCCTGACTCTTTGCGCCCTTCTCTCTGAGCTGTTCCAGAGGAGGTAGAAACTATATCTGGTACCCAGGTTTCCATAATAGGATGAAGCAACGGAAACCTGGTTTGGGTATCTGTTCCCTTGCCAAGATTACATAAAACAGAGAAATCTACCCAGAGGAACATGTGGTGCTTCCGGGAGAGCAGTGGGATTCTAGGAAGTCAGAATTCTGTGAAATGTGGATAGGAATTTCGACTCTACTTAGTAGTCTATGACAGAGGCCCATTAGATAACACTAACAATTGGCTCTGGTCCTCATCTGTACATTGGTCCATTTCCTGGGGTCAAACTCTGCCTCTGTCCTATTTGAGTTCCTGTCCTGACTTCTTCCAGTGATGAACAGTGATATGGTGGTATCAGCCAAATAAACCCTGTCTTACCCGAGTTGCGTTTGGTCATGGTGTTTCATCACAGCAATAGAAACCCTAATTAAGACAATCTCTTTACTGAGCGAGCATGGTTAGGAAGAAACAAGCAGGAGGATGCATTTGTCTATCTGACAGCAGCAACAGACACATAAGTGTGTTGATAATGGAGATGCATGGGAAAAAATCAATGGGAGGATGAGGCTTGAGTATGTATTCGGTTGTTAGCATTATTAATTTATATGATGTGATTTCTAATAATAGTCATATTTCAGTAATTTTCTTGAAGCATTTAACAATAATTCCTAGAAGCCTGTGTCAACACAGCCCTGATATGAAGTAGATCAATATGTATGAGAGAGAGAGATAGTGAGCCAGAGACAGAGATGGTGGTATATCACAATTATCTACTATCTATCTATCTATCTATCTATCCATTAATCCACCCATTTGTTGATTGACTCTGCACCCACTAAGATGCTTGAAGCAAAAACTTGTAAAATTTTAACAGTAGTCTGTAATACTGGAGATCCTAAAAACAGAACATTAGCACCTGACATTATATATAAAAAATAAATTGTTTTTTTGTTTTTGTTTTTGTTTTTTGTTTTTCGAGACAGGGTTTCTCTGTGGCTTTGGAGCCTATCCTGGAACTAGCTCTTGTAGACCAGGCTGGTCTCGAACTCACAGAGATCCACCTGCCTCTGCCTCCCGAGTGCTGGGATTAAAGGCGTGCGCCACCATCGCCCGGCTTAAAAAATAAATTGTTAACATCCCAATCATTTTGTCCCTGATTGTAGATCCAAGGGCAAGGTAAGCAAATGCAAGAGAGATCATGGAAGCTGTAACCATTGCCAGGTAGAGCTGAGACCAGAACCGAGTCCTCTGACCTTCGGTTCACTCCTACCATCTTGTCTGTGTGACCTCTGACGTCACCGAAACAGCCACAGGCTGTGCCCAACCCATCATATAATCTGGGATATGCTTGTTGGGCCTCATTCCCCCCACCAGTCTGAGTCTTGGCAGCGCTCACATCTTTGCAAATAAAGAATGAAATAAAGCCAGAAGCTCAGGAGATGACCTGGGCAAGCTTTGGTGATGGCCAGACTTGAAGGTCTTCAGGAAGCCCTGATACCTGTGTCCCTGGATCCTGGGTATCTGAGCTGTTTAACCATTGTGTCTTTGCAGACATGATGACATGTGACTCCTGTAGCTAGTGGGCAATGGCCCTGAAGCCTCTGCCTAGCTCTGCTACCTCACTTGCTGTACCAGATACTGGTGGCGTTGGAGGCGTGTGGAGAAGCCCATTTCGAAGGGACTGAGGTTTTCCACCAACAACCAGCACTGCTCCCCAGAGCTGTGAGTTTTCTGTCCTACAAGGGGAACCTGGGCTGCAGGACAGTCTGCAAACGACACAGCATTTGAGAATCTCCAAGCTAGAATCACCCAGACTAAGTAACAGACACACACTCATGCACACACACACACACGCATGCATGCGTATAAACACACACACACACACACACACACACACACACACACACACACACATGCGCTATGGGAATTTCACTATATAGGTCAAACTGGCCTAAAACTTGCTTTGAGGTTACAGCTAAACTCAAACTCATGATCCTTCTGCCTCAGACCCTAAGTGCTGGGATTATAGGGGTATGCTACCACGCCTGACTAAAAGTATTCTCAAATCCTTGACCCACGGGTAACTGGCAAAAATTGTTAACATTCTTGCTGTTTTTAGCCATTGGGTTTTGGGGTACTTAGTTACACAATATTATGATCTGTGTGCAAAGTGTCCTTCAAAAGCTGCATGTGTCGAGGGAGTGGTTCTCAGCCGGCAGTGGCAATCGAGAGGGGACTGGACCATGAGGACAGGAAGGACATCAATGGATGGATGAATGAATCCATTGATAAATTCAGGCAAGAATGAGCTCTCAGGAAGTGGGGCCTAAACTCGGGGTGTGGCTTTGAAGAGCGCATTTTGTCCCTGGATCCATCCACTTCTACTTTTCCTTGGTTGCCTGAACCTAGCAGCCTGTCCTGGGGCTCATACCAGTGCTTCCGTTTCTCGCAGGCCTAAAAGCAAATGGATCCAGCTGACCAGGACCCAAACTCCTGAAATGATGGTTCGAAATCACCCCGTGCTCCTTAAAGTGAATTTCTTTTACACATTTTATGACATGACCAAAAAACTAAGTGGCCCACTCGATAACAAAGAACTTCATATCTGTCAGAGTTTCACCATCTGAGATACTGGTTCTTCTGAACACGGAGCTGTTGAGGTGGGGTCTCAAAAAGAACCTTGAAGACATTTTGTTTCTCTTTTTACAAAAGAAGGAGGAGGAGGAAGAAGAAAGAAGAGGAAGGAAGGAAGGAAGGAAGGAAGAAGAAGAAGAAGAAGAAGAAGAAGAAGAAGAAGAAGAAGAAGAAAGAAAATTGAATTTCAAGCCAGCAACAGAAAGCTTTTGTAAAATATGACATTTGAAATTCATTTTAGGCCGGGCGGTGGTGGCGCACGCCTTTAATCCCAGCACTCGGGAGGCAGAGGCAGGCGGATCTCTGTGAGTTCGAGACCAGCCTGGTCTACAAGAGCTAGTTCCAGGACAGGCTCCAAAACCACAGAGAAACCCTGTCTCGAAAAACCAAAAAAAAAAAAAAAAAAAAGAGAGAGAGAGAAAATAAATGTACTCTGTCTTACATGACTTCTGCAATTCTAACGGGCAAGGCAGCTTGAAGTGAAACTATGGACACTTGTTCACAGCAAGGAACATCTCCCAACCTTCCGATGGCACTTTCTTTAATTCTTTAATTTTTTTTTAATTCTCCACCTTTAACTCTTCTGTGCCTCTTTTGGAAAAGTGCAAGTGGTACACATTACCAGAGACATTAATTACGAAGGGAGGGAACAGGAGTTCCAATAGCTGTTCCCAATGGGAGTCTTAAGGACACCTGCAGGAAGCCACCTGCAGGCACCCGGGGATACTGGGCGGTTTCTCCTGTCTCCACCCGCTGAAGTACGCTCTGGAGAAGCTAGCTAGCGCCTATCTCCACGCAGGAGAAGATCCGCGGCGCTCGTAGATCTGGTCCAAGGGTCCAGGCGCTCCTGGGGAGCCGCGGAGGCCAGGCGAACCGCAGCTGAGCTGGGGACCCGGGGGCGAGCGCGCGCAGCCTTTCCAGGCGAAACGCAGCGCACAGCGCCCGGGCGGTGCCCAGCATGGAGTGGGAGCTGAATCTGCTGCTCTACCTGGCGCTCTTCTTCTTCCTGCTCTTCCTCCTGTTCCTCCTGCTCTTCGTGGTCATCAAGCAGCTGAAGAACTCGGTGGCCAACACAGCCGGGACGCTGCAGCCCGGGCGCCTGTCACTGCACCGGGAACCGTGGGGTTTCAATAACGAGCAAGCGGTGTAACCCAGCGCTGGGCTGGTCTCAGCTCCGGAGGGGATTCAGGTACACCCCTCGGGAGTGGCGGCGGGGGGACACACTCTTTGCTCCTCCCAGGTCTCCGGACCCTCTCCAGGGCAGGGGACCACAGCGACAAGAGTCTGGCCAGGGAGCAGAGTTTTTCTAGAGCAAGCCTGATGCCAGGAGGGGAACTCGGGGTTAGAGGTCAGTTTGGGAGCGAGAATGGATGCACACCTGTGAATTCTTTGTAGACGAACTGCATTTGTGCAAAAGTCCATTATTCAGCCAACTCAGCTCAGCCACTTCCAACAAAATTAATTATCTAAATGCTTTGCTTTGAGGGGCGTTCCAATATGCACGGGAGAAATGATTCAGGGACCTGTTGGGGGCGGGAGGTTTCCTCCTACTTTTGATTGCTACTCCTAGTCTAACCTGCGGGGTAGCCAAAGGTGGGTTTAGACCCTGGGACAGCAGAGGGTAAATATGAGAATGATTCGCTGGGAAATGACCTTTGGACGCGGCCTGGAGGGCAGGCAAAAGGGGCTGCTTTGCAGAGGGTCGGGCTAGCAGAAAGAGCTGTGTGAAGGGAGAGGCCTGCCGGCGGTTAGTTTATCAGACCTCTTGGAAAAGGCTGACCATCAGGAGTAAAACCCACCTGTGCTCCCTAAACAAGGTCAGACAACGTTAGTTTGAGAAATCGTTTCATTCATCATATCCGATCGCTTTTCTTAGATCTACGTCATCTGGACCCAGGCTGGTACCCTTGACTCCGATCACAGCCCTGCAAAGTTGGACAGTGGCTGGTGGAAATCTTCTCGAGAAAGGTATGCTGGGGCCTCTCACTCAGGCTGAGTGTCTCCAGATCCAGGGCCTATCAAAGAGAAGGGTCGGGATGCAAGAGGCAGGAACCTGGAAATTGAGGGGTTTCTGCTCTGAATCAGAGAGCTTCCTCCAGAATCAAGAACTCAAGGTGATGTCTTGTGGGAACCGTGGAAATGATGGGGCTTGTGGGAATTATAAAAAGGGGCCAGGAGCATTTGCAAATTTACTAGCCACTCCCCCCCCCCCCCCCGTTTTTGAAAATAGTACTAAGGTGCAAATATAATTTGTCTTCAGTAGGGAAAGTTTGGGACACACTATGCCATGGAAACACTAATTTTACACACACACACACACACACACACACAGTCTATGGAGAGTTAAACCCCACAACATCATGTTTTGCCAAGGCTGATCATACAGAAGGGAATGGTTGATAATTTAAACGAAAGTGAAAATAGTCCCGTCTAGGGGGGTAACTACCAGAAACGATTTTGGTTGGAGACAATAAGTTGATTTCCTACATATTCTAAGTCATTCTGACATAATAAAGCTGTTTTTAAATGAAGACGATGGTTTGTTTTAGCTATTATTTCTCGGGTAAATTCTTATCTCCTTGTCACATCTTTATCAAAGATATAGTGAGGCTTGATTTCGGTTTCCAGTCTGAATTGCAAACTCTGCAGCCATGAATCTGCATTGTGATTTGAACAATAGTCCTCTAATTAGCTTATCTCTACGTAGTGATGTTTTGTTACAAGGCTGCGTGGTTATTATGAACATGGACAATGAACATGGGAGTGACTAATGAGCAATTATATTTGTTTATAAGGGCAGAAAATAATCATTTCATACTTTGTAAATAATCAGAATGTAAATTACTTTTAACCACCAGCTTGGCTTCTTGACTTTGTAATCTTTTCATCCTCCTGGTAGTCCCGGGCTCCTGGGGTCCAAGAGTGTAATTCACCCCAACCTTTCACTGACTGGAGAGGACAGAAAACTTGGGCATCTCGGTATTAGGCTGATCTCTGCAGTTTTACAAGAGTGGCTGCCTTTCCACAGGGCGATTCTATCACAGCTGCACTAATTTGTCAGTTACTACGTTCTCATTTATGTAGCCCCACCCAGGATATTTATTCTTCTCACCTGACTTTTACCTGGAACTTATTTCTAGAACACATGAATGAAGATTCCTCACATCTGCCCTCAGAATGTGTTGGTGACATCTTTGCCCTGCCCTCTGGTTAGTAATTCCACCTTTGATAATTCCACAACTGTGGATGAATTGCCTTTTCTATTTCTTTTTTATCCAATCACCATTTTCCAAGACCCAGACCCAAAACTGATCCTCCACGGCAGAGATGCTTTTTGTTTATTTGTTCTCCAGACGCAGAGTATCGATATATAGCCCGGGCTTGCTGTGTAGCCTGAGTTAGCCTGGGCTTGCTGTGTAGCCTGAGTTAGCCTGGACTTGCTTTGGGCGCCAGATTGACCTTGAATTTGTCATTCTGCCTCTGCCTCCCAACTCTGGTATTACAGGAGTGTGCCGCTAAGCTTGGCTCAAGAAACTACATTTGAACTAGATCTAATGTATTGGCATCCAGAATCCTCCTGGATGTATGGATTACTCAATTCATTGACCACCCCCTAGTCCTAATATCCCTGAATTCTGATATATGTATGAATAAGATAGGGTCTCACTATAGAGTCCAGAATGCCCTGGAACACACCAGCTGCCTGGTTCATCCCCCTGATGAGGATGTACCTCCATGCCTGGTCGATAATACTTTGAAAGATAAGGTAAATATGAATTAGCACTAAAACATTTGGTAAGTCAGGAACACTTAAAATAACTGCTCATTTTGTAAACCTAATTTTATTATACAATATTATTGTTTTGTTTTCAACACAAGGCCTTCACGAAGGCTAGAAGGCAAATTTATTTCATTATGGGTCATAAGAATAGATGCATTATTAATGTTTTATTTCAAATGTTGCTATTTAATAATTAGGTCTAAATTTTGGTTGTTTAAAATGACTTCACATCTTACGAGGGCAATTTTGGTTGTTTGCTGATGTCCAAACTTGTGATGGCAATGGTTGTACATTGAGAAGATCATTTTAAGTTGAATGAGAATGCTACCACATTCCCATTTTTGCAAAATCTAAAATGTCTCATAGAGTGGGTTCCCCATGCCTGTACTTCAATTGCAAGGCCAGGTGCGGCTGTGGGCCCAATGCCATCTGCTGCAGTCCTACGTGTGGCATGGGGGATTTCTCCAGCGTTCACCCTGTGCATGGGCTTCTGGGAGGAAAGGATTTGTTTTTGGTTCATTGCAGAGGTGGAAACTTGGAACAAGGTATGCAAAAAACATGCGACACCCTATTTTTAATGCAGCGTTCTATGTTTCCAATTCTGTCTAGTTTCAGACCAAGTGCACTGGAATTCAATTATAAACGAGGAGAATTTTGAGCATTGTGAATGGTTAAGCCATTTAAGGATAGTTGGAATCCACCCCCCCCCCCCATCATGATTTAGAGACTTTTAGAATTCTAGTTATACTGACGCAGGATGTAGACAGTAACTGCAGGGTTCTGTACTTTCAAAATAACGTTTTCAGCTAGCCTGTGATATTTGTGCCTACCTAAGCTGAATCTGCAGTTAAAACAATAAGAGCATTGGAATTTGTGGGGCGTCTGTTGCCCCACGTTGGGCACCATTTTCCAGTGTTCACCTGTCACCCCATGTAGTGATGCCATTTGTTAGAGACCAGCTTCCACAAAAATATCACTTGCCAGGGTAGGGGCATGGGGGTTAGAAAAATAGTAAAGAGAACAAAGACATGAGTGAAAATAATAAAACAGAAAACATAGGACAGTATCAGGAGGGCGTTCCAGTGATCACTCCCTGGGTGGAACCCATTGTTATCTCCTTAAGGAAGTAGGAACTTAGATCCTTAGACTTTTGCTAGGGGTGGAAACACAACTACTTCTCTAGTCCTGAAATGCAAGGTCTGGATATTAACCACACCTGTTGACAATAACCTTGAAAGAGCAGAATCTCTGACCTAAATCTAGACGGGACCTTTATTTGAGGTAGAAACAGACAATAAACTTAAAAGGAACAGAAGTAAGTTCCAACTCTGACCTTTTGTCAGGGTAGAATTGCAAGAAGTTTGAGCAAAGAGAAACTCTTTGACCTTCAGACAATGTGGATATAGGCTCCCATTTTTGGGCCCCATAGGCCGTTTTGTTCCCCATCCCCCACCAGATTCTGACATGGTTTCCATGGCTCCTCACAGGGAGGAGAAAGCTGAAAGGAAAAACAGTCTGAATTCACTTCTTTCTAAAGAGCTTCTCCATGGACAGACCCTCTCTCATTGACGAGAACTGTCACTGGCCATTGTCCTTTGTAGGGTTCTTTAACGATAGAGTTGTTGTCTTCAACCAAAATCTGAGCTCTCTAGATAAAAACAATGCAGGTAGATGTTGGGTGGACAACCAGAAGTCTATGCTCTGGAACATAGTACAATTCAAGAAAGATGAAACTTGTGATTCCCTCTCACCTTGAGGGGGTGTGGCTGAACAGAGCGAAGACGTCTTCTTAGTTCTCGGGAAATGTTTGTCAGGACTGGTTTCCTCTCTGGACAGCTGACTTTCCCTGCACCAGGATTTTCTAATCAAGTATTCTGGAAGCCTGCACATTTGTGGCTCTGTGTGTGTGTGTGTGTGTGTGTCTGTGTGTGTGTGTGTGTGTGGGAGAGAGAGAGAATGTGTGTGTAGGTGGTGGGTCTTCACGACTCTTCTTAGAGCTTTGGTCGTGGCATCAGTATAGGTTGTTTCCTTTTGCTCACTTTTGGTCCCCTTCATCATTTCCCTGTTAGTTAAATTTTGGTGGTAACCAAGTTTTTGTGTTTGATTCCCACAAAGGCCATCCCTTTCATATACGGAGGAAGTCACTCTGTGCTCAGAAATGCTACCTCTCTTCCTGCAACTCCACTGTCAATCCAGGAATATCCTGGGAGATCGCCACTGGAGCTGCTTCTCCTCACAGCCTACGTACTGGCCAGCAGAGGGAGAAGAAACACTTCCCACACCCAGCGCTGTGCAAAAGAACTCTCTGTGATGGGGAACTGTTCTATATCCGTGGTGCCCAAGGCGGCAACCGCTAGTTACAAGTGTCTAGTGCACACTGAAATATGGCTAGCGGGGCTTACATCTTACTTCGTTTCACCCGAGACAGCCACATGGAGAGGGTGGCTTTTGTATGCACTGTTCGTCCCGTTCCCTTGTGTGTGTGTTTTAGAGTCAGAAGGGGAGGAGGCAGCTGCTTGTGTGCTCCACACCCCATGGGCTTCACTGCTCTTCTTGCAGTGAGTTTGTCTCCTTGAGGAAAAAGAAAATTAGTATGTTGGAAACTAAATTGAAAATGTTATTATCTACCTATTGCATGTCTTCTTGTACCAAATGGAATAGGTTTTAGTGACACGTGATCATGGAAAAAAATGGCAGGGCTGATCCACCATATCTCATGACCCCAGTCCATGTTCCTGACAGGGGTCATTTTTTTTTTCAAATATTTGTTTGTTTCTTATGTGAACAGTATTCTGCCTCTGTGTCTGGACCTCTCTGGAAGAGCAGCCAGTGCTCTTAACCACTGGGCCATCTCTCCAGCACGGCAGAGGTCATTTTGTCTTGTATTGTTTATTCCATTTTAGTTTACTTTTTATTATCGTAAATGCCAAATGATTATTTTGTGTATGTTTTTCAAGATACCTAATGGTTTATATTTTTTAAAGTTGTGAAATAAACATGATAATTACAAGTAGCTCAGGTTTTTTTGTGTGATTTTTAGTAACTTGTAATTATCCTAACTTGGTTGTCTAAAATTAGGATATGGTTAATAGAGGAAAAGAGATATTGATTTTTATATGATTTCCCTTTTAACAGATGACCTTATATGCCAATGAATGTTACCTTTCAAAATCATTAAGCGATTCTTCTGTTATGTTTGAAGTTTGAGTAGAATATATTGTCTCCACGTTTGCTGTTTGGGCTGTTGTGTGGCGCCGTGGGAACTGTTAGTGTCCCAGGCATACTCCTTTCACAGACACAGAGATTTCCTCCTCCTGTGGCTAATCTATGGATATATTTGGAAATGTTCTAATGATATGTTTTTAATTGTGAAGTTTTAAATGTATTCACCTTTTGTTCGTTGCTTTCTGTGTCCTCTTTTGAAGACATTTGCCTATCTTGCCCTTACCCAGGTTACCAAGAACATTCTGTTGTGTTTTCTTCTGCACTAGAAGTACAGTTTTTTGATTTTCGAGGCAGAGTTTCTCTATGTAGCCCTGGCTGTCCTGGAACTCACTCTGTAGACCAGGCTGGCCTCAAAACTCACAGAGATCCACCTGCGTCCCTCTGCCTCCAGAGTGCTAGGATTAAAGGCGTGCACCAGACCTGGCTTAGAGGTATAGTTTTTTGTTTTTATTTTTCAAGACAAGGTTTCTCTGTGTAGCTTTGGAGCCTGTCCTGTAACTCCCTCTGCAGACCGGGCTGAACTCCCAGAACTCCACCTGCCTCTGCCTCCCCAGCACTGGGATTAAAGGCGTGTGCCACCACTGCCTGGCAGAAGTACACTTTTAATTTATACTAAGTTTATTATTTATCTTGAATTGAATTTTGTATATGGTATGTGGTAAAGGATGATTTTCCCTTTTTCTATAAATAAACAAGCTTTCCTCAAAATTTCCCCTTTTTGTTCCTCCTTTCTATCCTCCTCCCTCTCTCCCTCCTTTTCTTCTCTTTCCTTCTCTCCCTCTTCCTTCCCTCCCTTTTTCTCCCCTCCCTTCTTTATCTATTGAACAGACATTACCTCCGCCTTCATCAACATCCAATGGGAAAGAGTGGCTGTCTTCCTGGGTCTTTCCTGTTCTACGGGACCCTCCCTGCAAATGCCAGTGTCTTAGCTCCATAGTAAGTCTGGTCATTTATGTACGTATCATGACTGGGGTTATTAAAACAGGCTCCTAGTCACAGGCTGGAGGTACCCACCAGGAAGCCAGAATACGTGGAACTGAAATAGAATTAGTAAGAAAACCCCAGTGAAGGCCAGGCTTCCTTCACTTAAAACTGAGTCCTGGTCTGGGGTGTTTCTGGGTTAAGGAGGATGCCTCACTGTCCTGTTGGTCGTGGCAAACAAGAAGGCCCCCCTTTTCTCTCGGTTCCAAGCCCTGAACTCAGAGCTCAGTGATGAAAAGTGTCTGCACTGTGGTTCACTGAGTCTACGCAGCAAACTTTGCTCACTCCGTCTATGAGTACCGTTCCCCACATCTGTGCCATCTGCACTGATTTGCATCATGCTTAGTTAAAGATAACAGGCAGTATCTTACCTTGCTGGATATTTATAAAAGTGACTGAAGACAGAATGGTGTCCAGGAAGGGGATATGTGTTTATGTTTCTACAAACAGAGCACATGTGTCTACTCTCCCTTCTGAGCAACTTCTCTTCCGGAAGCACGGGGTATTGAGGAACGCTTTGTTATTATTGGAAATGTTTTAAAGATATATTCTTAATTGTGAAGTTTTAAATGTATTCACCTTTTTTTTCGTTGCTTTCTGTGTCCTCTTTTGAAGACATTTGCCTATCTTGCCCTTACCCAGGTTACCAAGAACATTCTGTTGTATTTTCTTCTGCGCTAGAAGTACAGTTTTTTGTTTGTTTTTTGATTTTCGAGGCAGAGTTTCTCTATGTAGTCCTGGCTGTCCTGGAACTCACTCTGTAGACCAGGCTGTCCTCAAAACTCACAGAGATCTCTTAGCGTGAGCATCGGTCATTTCTCTCTATTTTTTGTCAGCTGCCCACGTTTGCAGCATTCTTTGGTTCTTCATTGGTCGTTTTATGATATGTTCTCTTTGTTTGTTTAGGTATGGTCTCAGTCTGTAGCATAGACTGGCCTTCGATTATGGTGATCCCGCCTCACTCTCCTACCTTAGCTTCCTGAGTGCTGGAATTACAGGCATGAGCCACCATGCCCTGCATGGCCACCAAAATGTTAAAGACCCTTTTGATGTGAAATATACATCTATACATTCATGCACATACTTATATTTTAAAATCTAAATGGAAAACTATATGCACATTTTTAAGTTTGTTTTTAAGATGAATCAATCATTCCATATTCATTTATTTAATCCATATTGACTGAAGACCTAGTTGTAACTCTTGTTATTTAAGCTTGATTCATAAGCAAAGAAGACAGCAGTTCTTTGCTCATGGGGCTGCTTCTAGTGTACACACGTGGCCGCGTCTAGTGTACACACATGGCTGCATCTAGTGTACACACATGGCCACTTCTAGTGTAAACACGTGCCTGTTTCTAGTGCACACATGTGGCCCCTTATAGTATACACACATGGCCGCTTCTAGTGGACACACGTGGCTGCTTCTAGTGTACACACGTGGCCCCTTCTAGTGTACACATGAACCTATTTCTAATGTACACACGTGGCTGCTTCTAGTGTACACACATGGCTGCTCCTTTCTAATGATGTCATAGCAGCTCAGGTAAAAGAATCATTTGTTCCACCGACTCTTTCTTTTTTTTTTTTGATTTTTCGAGACAGGGTTTCTCCGTAGCTTTTGGTTCCTGTCCTGGAACTAGCTCTTGTAGACCAGGCTGGCCTCGAACTCACAGAGATCTGCCTGCCTCTGCCTCCCGAGTGCTGGGATTAAAGGCGTGCGCCACCACCGCCCGGCCACCGACTCTTTCTTAATGTACATGTAGCTGTCTAGGCTTTTGCCATTTTCGGTAACACCACATGACCCTTTGAAATAAATCTGTGATTGGAATATGTATAACTACAGAATAAAATACTAGATGTGACATTTCTGGGTACATGCAGTCTACTTTTTTATTTTGTTTTTATTTATTTTGATTTATTCTTTAAATAGTTTTCATAGTTTTGGAGAACAGTTTTAGAATTACTAGGAAAATTACGTAGCAAATAGTTTTAAAATACACCTCCTTCCCTGAGTAACAGCGTCTCCTCTATTAGCCTTAACACCCTGTTTAGTGTGTGACACTTAGCGCAACCGTCTGTGGGCAAATGCCCTGTAGCCCGTGCCGGAGGACAGTTGTCATGCTGATGCTGACCTGTGTCTGTATGGCTTACGCTAAGATTCCCTCTATGTCCTAGTGCTAGCTGTTTTAACAAGCTGATGTGGCATGTACTACATCAGAAAGAAGTTCCAGCCAGGCGGTGGTGGTGCACGCCTTTAATCCCAGTACTCGGGAGGCAGAGGCAGGTGGATCTCTGTGAGTTCGAGGCCAGCCTGGTCTATAAGAGCTAGTTCCAGGCCAGGCTCCACAGCTACTGAGAAACCCTAACAGAAGTTCCACTACCCTAAAAATTGGTGCTCCATCTCCTTCTCTTCCTCCCTCCTGATGCCCCAGGCAATCACTACTCAGCTTACTGTCTCCTGTTTTCTGGAGGGTGCAGCCCTTGTCCAGATTGTTTTTCTTTTCTTCTTTTTTAATTCAGCAACATGAATTCAAGCTTCTTCCTCATCTTGCTGTGGACCAAATGCTCGTTTCTTCCTACCTTGCTATACTAAACTTTGTTCCTGTACCCACTGAAGCACATCCTGCTTGCTTTCAAGGTTTTCACAATTATGGATAAACCTTCTGTGAACTTTTCCATACAAGTTGCTGTGTGGACAAATCTTTCAGGCTTCTTGGGGTAAACACCACGGAGAGAGACTGTGATAGTGTGTGGTAAGACAATCTGTAGCTTTGTCAAATGGCTGTCTAAACTTTCCAGTAGAGTGGGGTTCCAATTGCACTGCAGCCGGAACATCGTGAGCACCCACTGTCACTGGTGTTTTCTGTATACAGTCTTACTCTTACTGACTCTGTAAGGAAGGGGGAGGGGTGCACGCCACAGTGCATGCGTAAAACTCAAAGGACAGCTTGTAGGAGTCAGTTCTTTCCTTCCACCACGTGGTCTCAGGCCATTGGGTTTGGTGGCATGTGCTTTCCAGCAATGAGCCATCTCTCCAGCCCCCAGTGTTTTCTATTTTGGAGAGTTAGGTGTGCAGAAGTGTATCGTTGTGTAATCTGTAGTTCCCTGGCAACATCGGATGCTGAGCATCATCCCACGTGCTCATCTGACATCTGTGTATCTTCCTTGCTCGGGTTTATCTTTAGACCTTTTGCCTGTTTTTTATTTGATTGTTTGTTTTCTTAGTGTATAATTGAAGAGTTCTTGCTGGGTTGCCTAGTCCAGCCTTGCTGAGGGAGAGGAGCTTGGTTCTGCTTCAACTCGATGGGTCAGGCTTTATTGACTCCCATAGGAAGCCTGCCCCTGTCAGAACGGAGGAGTAGATGGAGGAGGGAGAGGTGTAGATGGGAGGTGGGAGGAGAGAATAGGAGGAAAGGAGGGAGGGGAAACTGGTCGGTGTGTAAAATTAATGAAAAAATGTTAATAAAAAAATTGAAGAGTGCTTTGCATATTATATCCTTCCTCAAACTGCTCTGTGAGTCTCTGCTTCCCTGTCCCATACTTTATTCTCTTTATTTTCTTAGCAGTGTCTTTTGAAGATGTTTCTCATTTAGATGGAATCCAGTTGATCAGGTTTCTCCTCTGGTGATTTTGGTGTTGCATTCTGGAATCACTGCCAAGTTCAAGGTTATCTATATTTTCCTCCTCAGCTACCTTAGAGGCTTTTATTCATATTTTTTGTTTAGGTCTGTGATCCATTTTGAGGGGAATTTTATAATTCTGAAACATGAATCCAGATATTTCCCTTTTTTCTGATTTTGAATTTAGATGTTTATTTATTCCAATGCCATTTGTTGAAAAGACTCATTGGATTTTCAAAACTGAATACATTATCAAAAAAGTAAATCTGTTTCTTCCATACTTCAAATTCCTATCTATCAATTTATATTCTCCCCCTCTCTCTCTCTCTCTCACTTTCTCTCTCCTGACAAGTTGAACTGACCTCAAACAGTCAAGAACGACCTTGAAATCGTGCCTCCCTCCCACCCCTCCCACCAGGGCTGGAATTTCAGGCATTCACCTCCACGCTCAGCTTTGTTTACAGTTCTCTGGCTTAACAGAAATGACGGTCTTGTTTTGAACCTATTAAATATTTAAGCCCTTTCTGGCGTGGATTCTTGACCCTGCCAACACCCCTCGGCTGAGGCTTGCTTTCTTATTACTGCTGGCTTGCAAATGAGACATCCAAACTCAAACTGGTGCAGAAAACAAAGGGCTGTGTCTTGACCTGCTTGCTGAGAGACCCAGAAATAGATTTGGTTAAGGCAGACTCCTAAACAAGATCGTGAGCCAGAGTTAGTGGCGCCTGCCTCCAATCTCAACTTAGCCGTGCCACCACTACTACTGGTGTTTCGCTGCTGAGTAAATTGACTCCTGTTTGAGGTGACATCCTTTTCCCAAGGTCAAAGTCTAGAAGCTGCTCACCCTCTAACTAGGGAGCTTACAGCAGAGGAAGGTGCTATTTAAAGCCCTGCACAGCCCCAGGGACTTAGACAAAGAGAAAGGAGAGACTCTTAGGATGCAAGCCACCAAGGCGAAGTGAGCCGCTCCTCTGACTTGGCAAGACAGCAGCCATTTCTCCCTAACAGGCCAATTTAAATCAAAACAATAAAGATGCTTTTTGTGTCTTATTCCTCGCACAAAAGAAACAGCGTGAAATTTCCCGGTGTTAGCTAACCAGTTCTTCTCCTGCTCTTCCCTCTCCCATCCCCTCTCTGCATTACAAGCAGGGTAATTCTGAAACAGCCAATGTCCTTTTTGGTTTTGTTCTGTTTGTTTGTTTCTGCTTCCTTCAAGCACTTTCTGTTCATAGAACCAGTCTTTTGGGCCCATTAGGACGCCATTCTATTGTACAGAATGAATGTTGTCTGATTCTAGACTTCAAAGCAAAACCATAGATACATTCAAGTGTCATCAAAATCCAGTTTTTTTTTCTCTCAGGCCACCTCCCGGCTTTGTTTTAGGTCTTTGACCCTCCCTCAGTCATATCTATAGAGCACCTGCTTAGTTCCAGATACCACTTAAGATGCTAGGGAGGAAGTGTGTGTGAGAGAGACAGAGACCTCATGTGCTCAAATAGATACATGTCTGTATGGATACCCGTGCATGTGGATGCAGGTCGGCATGGGATGCTGTTCCTCAGTTGCTGGCCAACTTGCTTTCTGAGACGAGGTCTCTTACTTCTCTGACACGAGCCTTGCTAATTAGACTAGATTGTCTGATTAGTGAACCCCTGCTCACTAGTTAGTGGCTCACCTGCCTCCACCTTCCTAGCGACTGAGATTATGATAATACTGAGGCCTCTGAGTGGCTTTATTAATTGAATTTTTATCGATCACTTTATTAATTGAGTTATCTCCCTAGCCCCAAGTTCTTACTTTTGATGATCTTATACTCTGGTTTAAAAAGGAATTTCCTTCTGATTGGACGTAAGCAAGCCCCAACCCAGTCACTGGTCTGCCGTCTACAGTGTGAGAATATGGACTGGGCCTATCTCTGTGCTCCAACTCTAGTATTGAGGATTGGACTGCACTCGATCTCAGCCAAAAGACTGAGAAGGGATGGAGATGGTGGGCCTGCATCTAGATCACTGGACTGAGAATGTGCAGGGCTTGAAGTCCAATGACATTTGGTATGTTGTTGAGAAAAGGCTTACTGGATACTGGGAGACAGAGGATCCCTTTCATTAATAGATTTGGGATTATTCCAGAAGGCTTACATCCAATCAGAATGAAATTCCCCCCACCATTTATTTTTCTTGTCTTTGGCAATCTCAAAGGGCATACTTTTTGAAACAGAACAAACAAAAACATGATTTTTACACATTTAAAATATGCACATATCTGAGTCTGTATGATAATTTTTTATTGGACAGCATTAACTCCTAAATTTACCCATTTTGCATGTACCACAGGGCCACTTCAGTGGGTCTCCATTTCTTAACACTTGATTAACAGAGGCAACGCAAACTCGGACACCTCTGCCGGTCAAGGAGATGGCAGGAAGGCATAAGCTTGTGTGTGTGTATGTGTTTGTGCATGAGCATTTATATATATTATGTGTTAATGTATATGTGGTTCCCTGTGTGAGCTGTGCATTTCTGTTGCATGTTGTATGTATAGCTGTGTGTCTATGTGTGCATGTACGTGTAGCTGACTGTATATAATTTTATGTGGTTGTGCTGGGTGTCGTGTGTTCCTGTTTGTGAATTGTGTATGTGCAGGTGTATGTGAGCACATATGTGCACACGCATGTGCATGAGGTGAGAGGAGGGCTCTGACTAGCTTGATGGCATCTTCTTGACCTTCAAACATCCTTTAGAAGTCATAAATATCATGCAGGCCAAACAGACAAAGCAGGATCACGTCCTATGGTCTGGTGTAGGCAGGCTGTTCAGGTTGTTCTCTATTGCTAATGATAGGAACAGCCCTGGCTGTCCTGGAGCTAGCTCTGTAGAGCAGGCTGGCCTTGAACTCAGAGAGATCTGCCTGCCTCTGCCACCTTAGTGCTGTGATTAAAGGTGTGTGCCACCACTACCCGGCTTGTGATAGGGAACTTAAAAACACCTTAGGAAGTTCATTTTGATGTCAGATTTGGACTGAGATTTTGTAATTCCGGTACGACATTGCTTTCTTCGTCTGTCTCCTTAAAAAACCAAAACCATAAGACTATTAGCCTGGCCAGAGTTTTAAAATCTCTGAAAATATTTAGTCCATTGCTAAGCATTATTTTCAACACATCTGTGTTACTGTAAAAGCAAAGTCACTATAGAAATTTTCAGTAAATATTTGACAACAAACTCAATCTGGTGGTTGAAGGATGATTAAATATGAGATATTTACTCAATGTGATAGATAACATGTTGTTACTTAAAGATGGGATGTAACAGGCTGATGAGCTGGCTT